ACCTACCTCAAAATCACACTCTTGACAATCATCTGTGAGACCACTGTTTTGAACAAAAAAGGCCTTTTAAAGACATTAAAATTAAGTTATATCCTTAACCCTAAGTATCTGCAGAGAAAGCTGTCAAACTTTACCAGGGTACATAAAGGCCTAATTTCAAGAACAGCTGTACTAGCACTCCAAATTGTTCATTTCCGCTCTCAGTGAGTTCACTAAGAGTCCAGTTTGCTTAGCTCTGTAGTCAGTATTACCTTTTCCCAGGCCTAGTGTCACTGAAATCACAGCTAAGAAGTAAGTTAGGATTTGCCACACATGAAGACTGGCACTCTGTTGGAGATAGGCTGCAACAGGTTAAGAAGCTTCTGTTTCCAGCTGTCACTGCTCTTGGGTCGCACGTAACTGAACCAATACAAACAGTTTAGCCTGAAGATAATGCTTTAACTCCCACCCTCAAATAAACTAATCCCCCTTTAGTATAGCAGTATTAAACATGAACCACCAAAAAAAAAAAAAAAAAAATTTGCTCTATGCTAACCACTGTGATAGTACCCAAAATCAATGAGGTAGCTCTGCCTAGATCTTCCCTTTAATGAATACCCTGAAGAAAGAACCAAGGTTTTTAAATTAAACAAGGAAGCTTATACTACAATAACATCGAATACCTAATTTTAAGTAGACAAAATTCATCTTGATTATGCCAGAACAAAACGTAAAAAAGATTTTTTTATACAACTTTCCTCATGTCCAATGTGTCATTAAAGCTGGAAACTATGCCCCAGGCTTGGTTTTAGGTAATGGAGTGACTTCCTGTGTTGCAGTAAACTACCCAGTGCCTGACAGACCCTAGGAAGGTTCTCTTCTATCACCTTTAAAGCCTGGCTCTCTGCTCTGTCAGCCATCTTCACTCTCTGCTTGATTCCAGGCTGCCATCTACACACTGGGACACTAACTTCTGCTCCAATACCTCTTTGCCCCCTAGACAAGACTCTGTTCTTCAGGAAAAGGCTAATTTTTCCTCCTTTTAGGAAAGGCCTATCACTGAACTCACATTATTTAAAAAAAATTTGCATAAAATTAGGAACAAACAAACCAGGCATGCTTATTACACTGTCAAGGCAAGGGTAAAGATGTAGGAGAGACTTGCCCATTACAACTAGAATGCTGATGTCAAAAAAAAAAAAAAAGACAAATGGTTTGATGCAAATGGGACAGTGAGCATCAGCACATCAGAGCATAAAGTTTAAATTTATCACGTAAGCCTGAGAGATTGCACATTTGGTTTGTTTTCATGTTAGATGCAGGAGAACAGCACTGAACTTAAACTGCTCTTATATTTCACTTGAACAGCTGAAGGTAGAAATAAAAACTAACCTAACTTTTCATAATGGATGCTATAAAGAAGGCTATAAAAGTCAGAAAAGAGTTACTCTGGAATTGAAATATTAATAATAGGAAATATTAATCTCAAAGAAAAAAAATTATCTTTCTGTGCCCAAGATTCCTGCATCACATAACTCTGAGAAAGACAAGAAGGAAGTGCAAGCATGATGCTTGCTACGTAACCTCAGGATGAGTACCAGTGTAAGTGATGAAGAGATGAGGGCTGGAAGAGGCACTTATCTCAACCTGGAGGATTCTCAGATTCCTAGAGAAACAGCAGAACAGTTCCCAGTTTCCAGACCAGAACTGAAAATTGTCATATATGAAAGGGTAAATCCTTCATAGCACTAGCAGATTTTCCTATTAGTGCTAACAGAGTAAATTACAATTATTTTTGTTCTTGATTTTTTTGCTTTGCCCTCTAAATACACTCTTCTTGCTCCCCACCAGTTCTTAAGCTGCCCCACAGTCATGATGACTTACTTTTTGCTGTGAGCAAATCAGCATTGGTGTGGTAAGAAGGAATGTTATTTCTTCTGGTTCATTTAGTTGTCTGAGTTGAGATTACTTTTCAAATAATTTGACTTTGATAAATAGATACTGTGGTCTCAGAACTATAAAATGGATTAGTAAAGACAGAAGAAAAAAGTCTTGTCCTTTCTGAAGGAAGCAGTTAGAGCTTGTGTTCCTATTCTGCCAGTGCTTTGATGAAAAGGGGAAGGAAACAGTCTGAGCAAACCAGAGCTAGAAACTCCTCATATCCTCTTAACAAGGACTCCCCTGAATGTCTTATGACACCAAAATCACTGCATATTTTTACTGAAATAAATCATAGATGGTTGGAAAGCAGTTTTCTAATGCTTTGAAAATCTGAAGTTTTAGACAGTTCTTACTGGCCAAAATGTGTTAACCTAAGTAGACCAGTTAACAGTTTCACTGGAACTGTTTATGGTGAAAATATTTGTTTGATAGATCCGCCTTTTTCTTGAAATATATGGATTTTAAAAACTAACATTTTGAACAGAATAGATTTTGTTTATATGTTGAATAATTACAATTCAACAGACTGAAATAGTGATGAATCTTTTTAACAAAGTGACTTTCCACACCATTTATTTAAAATATTTTGAGGTGATCAAAACAAACTTATCAAAAGATAGCCTTGCCAAAAGCAATATCTTGAAATCTTGTTTCATATAAGCATTAAAAGTTCACTTTTTTGCCTGGCACATGATAGTTTATCAGAAAATCTTTAGCACACTATCTTAGCTAAATCTTGATGTTTTCATGAGATAGAAAATTTGTTTCTACTTTTGTCGAGCCCCAATTCTCACGCTATTAAAATAGCAATAACATAATCTTGCAATAAATATATTGACAGCAGCAACAGGTAAAATTTCACTAGTTTAAATCTGGTGTTTCACCAAAAAGGAAGAAGAATCTTATCCTGAATTGTTATTCACTAAGCCATCAAATTATTCAAGGCAAAGCTAAAAATGTCCAAGAACAATTGCAACTTTCTATTTGTTTAATGGCTTAAATACTAAGTACAGTCTGTGATCTAAATTTATTGTGAGCCTATATAGGAAGTTGTACCTTAATTCTTTCTCTTAACAATTTGAGATGAGACAAAGATGCAAAGGAAACAAGATTATTCTTATTGTACTCAGCTGCCTCGGAGGTAGATGAAACCCACAGATGAAGCACTGTGGCAAAACTGGCATACCTTTTGCTTATACAGTGCATTCCACATATAAAGTTACTACTCCACAGTTCTCAAAACTTGGCACCCGCATGATGATTAACATGAGATTCAGGTGAGGGCTGAGGGGAGTGGATTCCCACAAATACTGAGGCTTTTAGGAAAAAAAAACCCTGAAGATTGCTATTAGAGAGTGATAAAAACACAATGTATGAATGAAAGAAGTTAGGGGGGCAGGAGTAATGCAAATAACTCATAAAAATATTTATGTAGACCTATGCGGAAGAATCTAGAAATAAACATGAAGTAAGGGATTAAAATAAAATTTCTTTAGCACAGCTACGGAGAAATGCTGATTTTTTAGAAGGCAATACTCAATGATGATTCACAGTCCTTATGGCATTTGCTCATGTCTGGAAAGAACTGAATTTACTCCATTCACGCATTATATCTGCATTTGTCAACTCTGGAACATTGATTTAAAAATACTGCACCAGAACTACATAAGAAAAAAACCCAGATCAAACTAAAAGAAAATTCATGTAAATCAAATTGGCATCTGTCAACTATTCATCCCAGTAAACTACTGGCTAAACTGAAGTTATGGTTTCTGAACAGTTTGATAGGTATTTCACTACGTATTTTTAGCTAAACAAGGAGTAACATTCCCTTGAATATTAACAACTTAGAGTAAAGTTAAATGTGTTCTGTTATATATTTAACATAAATGAAAAATTCCAATACACCTAAAGATCATCCTATAGAGATGGAAGCCTACACATTCAAATACCAGTTAGACAAGAATCAGTCTATACTTCTACAAATATATGGGATTAGTGTCATGCTGATCAGCTAGCTATCATAATACCTATCTCAGTGATCAATCTTCAAACTTATCAAATCTTGGTTTTAGGATTAGTGTAACTTTATTCTGCATGTTGTCATCAAAGTAAAGATTGGATCTTTACCCCAAGCTGTTCATAATCTAACAGCTGGATTTGCTTCTAATACTATTTACACTGAACAGCTCTGCCATGCATAAGATGTCCAAATTTTGCAGATAACATTGTAAATGAGCAGAGATTGAACTGGCAAACAAGGTAATAATGGAGAAAGTGAGCCAACATTAAAGAGTGGGGAAGAAACACACTCTGTGTTAAAGCATTTTTTCCCAATTATACAGTTTGCTTGACTTCATACTTTGTCTTAAGTGAAGACAAGACATAGTGCATAAATAGAAAATCAACATGGAAGGGTAATGGAGACAACTTTATAAGAGCAGAGGAGCAGAAACAGAGGACTGTTTCAGGTGTAAGGCAGAGAACAGAAGAAGAAACAGTGGCATAAGGATCAGAAAAAAGAATAAGATTGTGTCTACAAAGGGCAGAAAACAGGAAAAACTAATATTTAAGCAAAGGCCCATACAAGCATGACTCTGGGGTTGTGACTTTTGGTTTTATTTTACTCATACTTTCACATCTGGTCTATAACTGAGTGAATTGATTAAATTAGTGGAATTACTGGTGATATACATCCAATGTGAAAAGTGCCAGCTCGGGCCATGAGTTGTGAAAGAAATTTGAGGCAGAGACTGAAAGGAGATAGCTGGAGTTCTTTAGAGTAATATTTAGACAGTTTGCTTAAAGCTAGAGAAAAAGGGAAACAATTAAAAGAAGTGAAGACAAAAGATAAAGAAGACAATCTTTCACATTGAATACACAAACAGTATTCAACACTCCTTTAGATGATGGAAATGCAAAGCCTGTTAACATCCCATCCATTTTATCCTTGGACTTGATTCATTATTAATTCTGGATTTACTTCTGATTTTATACCATCAACCTTTTAGTAATTTATTTACTATGCAATCAGCGAGACAAATCTTAATTCTACTGTCTACTATTTGCAGTCATACTACCTTGCCAACAAGCACCAACTGTGAGCTGCATGGCTATGTGTGAAGGGTGGATAGGCCAATCATTGGTCACAAGGTAAGGTTCATATGTTGTTCCATCCATGTATAATGTAACAACAGGAAACTCAACATTGACAACGTAGTAATGCCATTCTTTATCACAAATCTGAAAGACAGAATGCAAGAGAAAAATATTAATTAGCACTTATTGTCAGGTGACTAATTTTTGTTTCCCATACGTTTTTTTAAATTGCATTGTTTCCAAATTCCACTCATAGAAAAAAATAACATTATTGAAATTTGTACATCACTAAAATGAATGAAAGTTAAAACAATGTTGATAAATACTCGTGGTATACTTGCAGAATATATTTGATAAATAGAGGCATCTTAAAACACACTCTTTGAAAACAAGACATGGATAAAATAGGAAAATCAGACAATTTGGTATTTGCTCTGTATTTTCACATTTTTTAATACATAATATTAGTTTCTTGATGTCGATATCAACTTCTGAGAATACAAAACTGTATGTAAGAGATGCATACTTGGGATGTATCAGCGTAGTTACTGGGGATCCCTATTAGCTTCAAATTAAGAAAAAATATAGCATTTAGTCACTAGATTGATGAGTTATTATCAATGATTTGATTCAATTGTCATTATTAACTTAGGCATTAGTACTTAGGAAGTCCTATGCAATGCATCAGGACCTCCGTAGTGCTAGAAGGACCTCTGCTGTGCTCTGTATACACACAGATGGACAAGTAGTCTATGTGTCTATCTGATTTGGGCAGGAAACTCAAATCTTCTCCATGCTCCATCTTTTGACCTTGAGCTTTTTCCCAGATAGTTGGCTAAATGCGGTTTTATATGGTTTCACTGATATGCATCGGCTTTCAAAAGCAACAGCCACAGCTACAACATACTTTCAAGATGACAATATTACTGTCAAATCTCATATGAATTTCTGAGCTGGACAACCAGGAATTACTGCAAGATGGTCAAATTCATTTTAGTTCAGAAATGTACAGCTAGATTAACCAGTGTCTCTGAAGACAGAAGTCTAGTGTGTAAATATCAATGACTGCCCAATTCTTTTTTTCCTTTGTTGTATCTTTCAGATTTAAAAGTTCAAAGGAATAAATCACAGCAAATTGGTAGGATGGGTGGGCTGCTTTTAAAAATAAAGCAATAGTGACAATCATGCTACTTTCAATTCTGTAGAGATACTTGTTTTGGTGTATTAAGAAATGGAAGTGCTTGAATGCAGATATCCTTGCTGTTTCACAGGCCAACAGAAAAATGATGTTTAAACACAACACTTTGTCCTTGGCCAGGTTAAGTGTTATCTGCTGCAATAACTGCCCTTTGAAAGAAAAAGCTAATGTTTTGTTCCAGAAGACATTTCAACAAGAACTTAATCACTTCTATTTCAAACAGATACATTTATTACTGCAGACATCATAGCTCCACAGCAAGAGATAAATGCAGCAAGGGGCTGCTAGAGCCTTCCTTTTGTAAGCGGTAGACAGCCCAAATGTTTTCTGAAGGTTAAATGAACTGAAACCAAAATTGAAAGTAAATACATTGGAAGACTGAAAACTATTGAACAAACAGCAATCGTGAATAGTATTATGTAGTCCTCCCTTTCAAGGAAAAACAGCTTGCCGAGTTTCCTGACCTGATCATTAGAATGTGATGCATCACACCCGCATGTGTCAGACATTTTATACAAAACAAAAAGGATGATGTGCCTGAGTTTGAGAGACCTTGCATGACAAAAACTACAGGCGTTAATACTTGACAGTTTTCAGAGAACTGTTCCTGAGTATTTCTGTTTTGCAGCCTTGAACTGCATCACCTGGGATGCCCCAAGTGCTGTTAAATGAGTGAGAAATCCTCATATTTAACCAAAGCAAGACCACTTTAATATAGCAAACCCAAACATTTTGGGACATAATATACACAAAGAGCATGATAATGTGTAGCTAGTCTGGTTACTCTATTGACTAACTGACATTTTTCAAAGAAAATGCTTTCTGGAAACACAAGATTACATCAATTCCACAACTCAAGACTCCAGCAACTGGGCTCCAGTGCTTCCAAGAAAAATGCAGATGTCCAACTGCAGATGTCCACACTAGACAAAGTACTTACTAACCTTTATTTCTTCTGATACATTCTGCAACATAAGATAGTGCAAGTGTAGACAACTTGGTGAAGTCCTCAAACCACTGCTTGCATGCTTTTCCTTAAATTTTGACACATGAACACATCAAGTTTTATTTTAAAGGGAATTTAGGCACTTAAAGTCTCAGCTTGGCATTTCCTGAGATTTCAGAAGCACCCAAGTTGGTCAGGTGCTTAATTGTCATATGATTTCAATACAGCTTAGGTACACAGACACATGTGTGTTCCACCAAAAGATCTTTAAGTAGCTGTACTGGGTCCCAGTGTAAAAACAAATATTCTACAAGGAAGAAATAAAATTATTTAAGAACTCTGGAATACATCACAGTCACTCAGCAGCAGGTAGTATTTCATGCCTGGCTGTTTCACAGGCAACAGAATAATGAAATAAATAATTGTGGAGTGTAATTTGTTATGCTGTCATTTCAGACACCTTCTTTACTTTCTTAATATAGGAAGCCAATTTTTATCCCTGCATGCATTCCACAGTGGCAATGGAATGTAATATGATTGCTGTGAAGCCATGAAAATAAAATTACAAAATATACTAGTTTGGTAAATAAAGAAATTTTAATCATCTCAGGTAAGAACTTTATTTTAAAGAAAATCTAATTAACAAAGCTATCCTAATAAGATAAAATTACAGATGATTAAGCTTGGCTTTCAAAGATTGCTGGATGGCTAGGTTGGTCTAATCACTCTATCATGTCAGTCTGCCTCTAAAATGTATTAATCAAATCACAGTGAATCAACCAGCTTGAAGTCTTAGTGCTGATTACAAGCCATTGCACTGGAATATGCCTTTATTAAATAGATGAAAACAGATTCAGTATAAATCTTATGAAGTTAGTTTCCCAAGACATTAAAACTTTTAGCATCTTCTGATGAAGAATGTCAGAGATGTTTCTGTTTTATATTGGAATGCTTAGGAATAGACTGAAACCAAAGTACTTTGGTCTGAGAAGCACATGGTGTTTAGACTTTGCTGGTCTGCAAAATATCTCTTTTTATGGCTTTGTACATAAGGGGCTAGGCATGCACATGTGAGAACGTGGACATTACAGCTTACAGCTTTTTTAGCCTCACTTAGGTCAGCTGGGGCATACTCATGCAAAATGGATCCTTCGCCTGTTTGGCAAGAGAACTTGTACTTTGAGAAGTGTCCCAGTGCCTCAGTTCAATACTGAAGAGCCATTCATATTTGAAACCCTCTGACTAGCTTCCTGAACGTCCCTTAAGTAATGTTCAGCAGACCACTGAGTTTGACCATGCAAACAGCTCTGCACATCCTGTCAGTGCTACTCAGTGCCTACTTTGAATCTATCCCTTTAGAGCTGAGCAAGCAGATATTACCTCCACCTCTCTGCTTTGTGCGACTTTGCTGAGGAATTGTTCTCAGAATACGCTCAAACATCCACAAAAAAAGCAGTAAGAAGAAAGAAGAAAAGGAAGGCAAGGAAAGCTCTCACTATAAATAGCACTATAAATATATAAATATATATATAAATAAACTATAAATAAAAGTGCAGGTATGAGACACAAACTCCTTTCTGCCTAAGTGGTCTGAACCATTATTTTCTACAGGCTGTTTGAAGAAAGCACCTTAATCCAGCTCTAAAAAACAAAACAGAGCATGCCACTCTATTCACTTCTCGATGCATTTTGTAGTGTCTTAACATGCTCTGAACGTCTCGGCACTCTCCCCCCACCCCGCCGCCTTATTCAGCATTCATTAGACCACATCTAAAATACTATGCCTAGTTTTGGACCCCTGAATACAAGAAATACTTGGATAAACTGCAAGGAATTCAGTGGAGGGGCAACAAAATGGCCAGCTCTTGCCATGCGAGGAGAGGATGAGGGAACTTGGCTTTTTTAGCCTGGCATTGGGCAGTGTTAGGGGGGTAATAGCAGCCTTCCAGTGCCTAGGGAGAAGTTACCAGGAAGACAGAGACAGGCTTTTCAAAGTGGTGCATGCTGTGACAAAGAGTCAATGGACATAACTTGAAACAAGACAGGTTCGGACTGGATATAAAGCAAGCCTTCATTTCACCACGTGGACAGTCAAGCAGTAGAGCGGGCTGCCCAGAGAGGTTGTGCCTTGAGATTTTTCAAGACCTGTCTGGATAAAGGCCTAAGCAACCAGGTCCAGGCTCATAGCTGCCCTGCTTTGAGGAAGCAGTTGGCCCAGAGACCTCCTGAGGTCTCTTCCCAGCTAAATTACAATTCTGATTCCATAAACACCATTGTACTGAAGGTGATAGAAGAGAAACAGCAGCAATCTTCTGAACATTCTGAACATTCTGAACATTCTGAACAAATTTCTGATACACAGAAATCACAAAGGTATTCAAATCTCCTCCTGTCTTTTCCTTTTACGGAAAAATTCTAAGTATGATTTCCATTAAATATTAACATTGAATGAATTAATTCACATATACAGTTGAATTCTTATCAACAGAGGTGACAAATTTAAAAAAGAATGTGCACTTCTGTTTGTTCAACCTAACTTCACGGGATATAAATCATCCTGCCTGAACTGATGTACATCTGCTGGAATGTCACTCCAAGATGTACTGGCCTTTGCAAAACTGTAACTGTTTATAAGACCATGAAGCACTTCCGTAGCAGTCTTTTCTCAGCGCAGCTGAATTCTGTGTCCTCTCAGTAAATCTGTTTTCTGCTGCTTGGTAGTATTTCAATAAGCAAAACATTTAGGCCACTCTATAATCAAGACTGTAGTGGAGGCTATTATACTCATTTGTAGCAAAATGGGATCATTAATGAAGGAAGAACCACATTCACATAGGGATTACAATACCCAAGCAGCTCGAATACTAATGTTTACCTCTGCTTGCAAGGAGGTCAGGAGTACACTTGGGGTTATAAATTGCATATTTTTGTAAAGTAGCATAACAGAAAATTAGTCACGCATAGTGTGTCACTGTTTCTGTACAAAAATGTCCTCTCCAA